GCTTACTCTTGATCATCTTCGCTTTTCTCTGAACCTTTCCCAGTTCTATCTCCTTTTGAGGTGAGATGAACAGACAAGACTTTCTGTGACACCAATCAAAGCGATGTCTGTAATCTGATGAAAGAATTAAGAGGAAAATCATGCCCATGTTGGAAGAGGCCACGCATTCAGTTGAAGTTTTGCCTATCAAGTAGGGATGTGAAAGGTTAACCAGCTATCTAGTATAAGCCTCTCTCTAAATGGATAATGCTTACTGGTTCTGGTTAACTGCAGAAGTTGGAGCAGCTCTCCACCTGCCCTAGGCTACCTCCTACCCCCTCGCTGCAGATTACACGCTGACCCTACAGAACCCTCAATGAAGTCTCCCTTGGAGCAGCTTCCCTGTGACGGGGAAGCCGCCTTCCCGGGTGCAGTGCTGCCAGCCCAGCTCCTGGTGAGACTTCACTGTGTGTTTTGCAACATGTGGAATCATGTAACCGCTAAGATTTTCAGCAGTTACACAGTTACCTTTTTAACTGACTTTATACCCCTAGTATTAAGAAATATGAGAGAAATGAAGCATGAAAGCAAGCTGTTTTCTGATGGTGTATTTGCCGTATGATTCTGTCTCATTTCTCAGTCCTATTCAAACAGAATTTTTAAACTTTTTCATTAAATACTAGGAGCAGCGAATGACTTCTAAAACTTTATTTGTAAAACAGTATTAATCTGTTTTTTAAATCAAGTGATTTATATTTATTTTGCTAGAACTCAGTGAAGAGCTAGTCATTGCTTTCCAGCAGGTGCAAAGCAACATGATGGGCTTCTATGGGCTGTGAAAATATACTCCAAAACCCTGTAAATCTGCTGCATTCAGAATTAATTTATGTGAATGCACAGTAGTGACAAACATTAATTTAACCATAAATTCCTTTAGTAATCCAAAGGCCAGATGATATTCATAAAATTGCTCTAAACGTGTCTAAAAAACTAAATATAGTAACAAATATTCATAAGCATTTCATTCAAATACTCGCAAATCAATCTGTCCAAGAGAGATAACACACTTATCCTGACTTGTTCCTGCATGATCAAATAGGATCTTACAGATTAGTCCTAGCAAGTCTGGTTCTTTTATACAGTACAACAAACAAGTGATGTCACATTGACCATTATTATCTTAGCTAAAAAATAGTTTTTGGACTGTTTGAGTGTGACCCCTTTAGCCATGGCTAAAAACAAGATACAGTAGTTGGGCCTCCTCTTTTCAAATAATGTTAAATCTAGCTGCTCCCATCATTTTATCTTCTTGTGTTGGCCATTATATTAAGATAACATGGATTTGTTGGAGTGTCCTATGAGCTTATCACATCACAAACAACTTCTCCTTGGCTACGTCTACACTGGCCCCTTTTCCGGAAGGGGCATGGTAATTTTTGAGATCGTAATAGGGAAATCCGCGGGGGATTTAAGCGCCCTTTTCCGGAGGATCTTATTCCGGCGGTTCCTACTTTGAAGTAGGAATAAGATCCTCCGGAAAAGGGCGCTTTTTCCGGAGGATCGGGGCCAGTGTAGACGATCTTTTCCGGCTTTTCTAAAAGCCGGAAAAAAGCGGCGGACATTTTTATTTAAATGCCGCGAGGGATATTTAAATCCCCCGCGGATTTCCCTATTACGATCTCAAAAATTACCATGCCCCTTCCGGAAAAGGGGCCAATGTAGATGAGCCCCTTGTGTATTAGGACCAGTTTTTAACAATCTCCTATAAATTAAAGACCTTTTCTCCAGAAATCTTATTATCATATTAGCTGTATTCTAAGTTTAACATGCTTTAAAAACTTGTATTGCTAAATGCAATAGTCCTTTTGAATTTAATGTTGTTCAAGGCCTTGTTACATTGACTAACCCACCTACACAAGTTACAGTGCAGATTTATTTTTCTTAGCCAAGCTCAGAATGTTAACCCTATGCTAAAACCATTCTATAGCTGTTGCTTTTCTCTTTAACCCTATGCTTCACCATTCTTTTTAATATGGTTACAATATTGGTAAACCATTTTAATATCTTAATTCAGTTTGACTATAAAATTACTTTGCCTCTGAAGTGAACCACTTCTCTAGTGAAAATGGTTTGTTACTTGATACTGTGGAAGAGACTTTGCATGTTCTTTTTAGCAAAGCCTTTGGTGATGTGTTTGAACTCAGAGGTTTTAATACCCTCACTGCAATTTGCTTTTATATTTTATAAGCACATGAAGGGGTGTTTGGCTAGTTTTTCAAATATGAGAAATGAAGTTTCTTTTCTTTTGGTGTTTATTTTGTTTGCCTTTGTGATGAGTCTTGGTCAGGCCAGCCAGTAAAAAAGCTGGAAAGAAGAGCAGGGTGAGAGACAATCTTAAACAAAGACTGTTTTGCTAGCCTAAGCTCAAGCATGTTTTCATTTGTATTTACTTTATTTTTTTGCTTTATTTTTTTTAACTTAGTAACACTTAATCTTTATTCTTCTACTAATAAACTTGTGTTACTTTTAATCTAAACCAGTCCAGTTGTGTTTTGAATGTAGGTGATTGCTAACTCTTGTTAAAGTAATAAGCTGAGCTTTTGTCTCTTCAAAAGGACCAGTGAACCACTTTATTTCCCTGAGTGTTCCAGGGTGGGACAGTTCCGGGATGACATTTTTGGGGAAGCTTGGGATTTGGGAGTGTGTTGGAGTCACCTTGCAAGAAGTGACTTGGTGAACGTGAGGCTGGGACTTTTGTACTAAAGACAGGATGTTGGGTCAGACTTCTGAACCAGGGCTACATAGCACTCAAAGTATATGAACATCTGTGGGGCTTCAAGATGGAAAACACCCAAGGTTATAAATTAGGCTCTGGGATCTGAACCCCAGAACATTACTTGGATTTTGATTATCCTAACAAGTCAGGAGTTTGTATATTCCAGTGGTGGGCGACCTGCAGCCAAGGTAAGCCACTGGTTGACTGAGACAGTTTATCTTGTTTCCATAGTCACGGCCCCAGCAGCTCCCAGTGACCATGGTTCACTGTTCCCAAGAAACAGGAGCTGCTGAAAATAGAGGGCAGCATGGCCTTGTGGTCCACTGTGTCCTGCAACTCCCATTATCCAGTAATGGTGATCTGTGGCCTCTGAAAGCTATGGAGGGCTATACCTACAGACACACAATGTAAGCAAATTGTCTCGCAGCCCTCCATCAGCTTATTCATGAAATGCAGGCTGCCCACCACTGGCGTATTCCTTTGAGTTTGGCATCATCATGCCTTAGCCAGAGATGGGGGATTAGAAAGATCCAGACATTTTTTGAGGTCTGGTGTTTGCCTCATATAGTAACTCTGCAGAGGGCTTTGGTTAGTCATGAGAATAAGATGGCTCGAGTAGGCCTAAAATATAATAACATGCTATGGATTTGAGCAATGAAAAGTGATTAGACCATTGATAGGCTGGGGAAACTGAGGCCTTAACCCATCTCCTTTTTTGCTGCTGCCAGGCTCATGTTGGTTTTTGAAGAAATGTTAAGGTTCTGTACAGTTGCAGCCACTTATCCTAAAGAACCCAACTGTTGTCCTTCTCAGTGCGAATGATAGTAGGCAACACGAAGGGAAGTGGTGTGTGGCAACGCCACCTACACCTCCTTACTTCTCCTTCCTCACTTGTAGTTCAAATGCTTATTTTTAAGTATGGAACCTGTAGGGAATAATTCTGGACACACTGGGTGCAGGTGAAAACAAACAGAGGATTTATTGAACACACAGCGCTGGTGGAATGCAAACCAGGTGTTAGCCTGGAGAGCACTAACTTAACCAAAACATACATTAGATTATATAGGTAGTAGATGGACGGAGAAGTGATTTGATAGGTCTAGCAGTGGAAATAAGATATGCACATAATCCAATAAACTATGAAAGTTACACAGTATCTCCGTCCATTGCCAATTAAACATGTTATCACTAATACAATAGTTATTCCTAACAAGCTAAATGAGCCAACATAAACAGGATGGAAGTCCCCAAAATGGACATGTTGATGTTAACTTGTTTTGCTGAAATTGTGATGGCTACTGTGAGATGACTCCTTCCTTGTGTTGGCACAGTCCTTGGGATCCAATCTGATTAATCTGAAATTACAGGAGACAGTAAGAAAAACTGTCCAGCCAGGCCTTATCAGAGTGAAGCCCCTTTGGAATATAGTTGCCAGAGGAACCAGGGTCAAGTTAACTGCTGTCTGTGTGCTTCCCAGACCTGACCTAATGATTTAGGATTTGAGTTGTCAGTTCTCGACAAGATACCATGGACTGCCTCAGTTTACCCTACAGAACCTCTTTGAGACTTCTCAATGCAGCACACGGGTTTGTTTTGTTTTATTGGTTATTTCTGCAGCTGCATAACTAGAACGAATGAGTATATTTTAGACTAGAATAAAATCCATGCTAAATTCTTAGCAAAAAACAAAGTATGTAATAAAACATGTAAATGTTTTGATAGACTTGCCCTCTTAATTGGCAAGCAAGTAGACAGAATCTGATTATAACATTGTCTTCTGTATCTTCAGTTCCCCTCACGCAATATCATTTGGGGAAAAAAAAATTGCTAAAATTAGACTTTTAAATAGGAGTATCTGAAAAAATTCTTAACAGAAAACTTACTTCAGTGTATGTTTTTGAAAGCGATGTTTTGTACGCTGTTGCAAAATAGTTTGTCTATTACCCATAAGACTTCATGGCTGTTTTGATAGTGTTCTCATTATTTTAAGTCAATTTAAAAGGAATTGTTTAAGTAGTGGTGTTACTGTAGCTTACTATGTATTATACTTGAGCGAATATAAACTTAGTGTAATCAGCATAAAAATGTTGTCAAGACACTGGACTTCAGGGTTTTTGATTAAAAAAAATAAGAAAGCTATTAATACATTTTAAAATGGATAATTAAGACAAGTCTATTGTGACTATATAAGAGAGTGAGATAACTAATAACTCAGAGCATGCACTGACTTTTGACCAATTGGCAGGTTGATGACATCTTAGGAGAAGGCAGTGACGATAGTGACAGCGAGAAAAAGAAGGCAGAAGAGGAAGGAGAGAAGTCACAGAGTAGTGCAACAGAATCAATAGGAATGAAAATGGAACAGAGGCCTGGATCATCATCCTCATCATCAAGTGAAAGGAGCTTAACAGGCAGTGTACCCAGGTATGAGTTCTTCAACTGTAAGAATCTTTTTATATTAGAAATTCAACAAAATTATATTTAAAATGGGATTCACTTACGCTTTTTATACAGTCTTCTAAAAACAAAGTATTTAAGCACAAGTTCCTCCCCAACCATTGTGACCAGAAAACTATCAACCAATTTAATATTAAAGCTGAATTAGCCTTAAATCATAAACTACACAAAGGAATGCTGTCATGGTTGAATAGCCCTACATTTGAAGTCCCCTAAACCTTATTTTCCCACTCTGTAGATATATAAAAATGAATAAAATAGACTTAAGTTGTTGAGCTGGGATGTAAGAAATCTAAGTTCTTATAAATAATTATTATATTAAATTCCATCTGATGGAGTTAGAATCCATCTACCACTAAATGGTAAAGAATTAAATGTGACATAGGGATGCTCATTATGCCTTCCCTCTGCTTTTCCTTTTGGCCTCCATTTTGGTGATTACATTTATAAGAACTTAGATTTCTTAAATCCCAGCTCAACAACTCAAGTCTATAGCTGTCATATTGGGGGCAAATACATTTCTCTGTAGTGGAAGAGAAATGTAAATTTTAGAGTTGTCAACTTCTGATGGTCTAAATCAGCTGTTTAAAATTAAACTTTATCATAACTCCAAAGTCTTTCAATAGAGTGAGTTTACCTCAGTCTGTCAGTTAAATGGTAGCTGTGGGTTTCTGTACATTGTGTGTCCTACATTTGTATGTGAATTAGGCCATAAATGAATTCACTGGTATTTTAATGGTACACGAGTATCTTTTAGGAACTGCTACATGGTTTGACATCTTTGACGCTTATGAGGAGCACTACGGCTGGGATTGCAGGGTTGTAGATAAGTCATTTTGAGGAGCTATATAGAAAGCCTTTATATGACTTCTTATCCTGGTTCTTGGGTTTACCTACACTTAATCTTCTGTATACATAATCACTTAAATTCATCAAGTAAGCTAGTGTGACCGGGTACCTGGAAGGGCTATGTTGAAAATACATAGGACAGACTGCTAGGAATAGATCAGACAATACCTGAAATTGGTGGTTTATTCTGCAGTTAGATTCACACTGGTTACCAAGAAGCAGAAATATTGTATCTTTTAAGCATCCCAACTCTTGATCCCATTTAGTCAGCCAAATCTAATATGGTGAGTAGTTACTGAGAACAGGTTAACCATATGTTAAGTCTGCTAGTCACAAAGGTCCAGACACTGATCTTCAGGTCAGTATGAATCGCTGATTTTACCCAGTATTCACACTGATACCAGCTGTTTAGAAACTAAAAATTGAAAGTTTTAATAATAAAAAAAGAAAAAGAAAGAAAAGAGTTGCTGTGGTTAAAAAATACATACACAGATATGCTTAAGTCTCTTGGTCATTCTTATAGTAGAATTGATTTGTAAAAGTCTTTCTGGAAACAGTGTGAAAGGTTATAGTCCAATACGCAGTCCAGGTGTAGTTTGTTCAAATTCTTCCATGAGAATTCCACAGTAAGTCCAGAATGAACCTGGAGATCTCATTCTTGTGGCTTACACCCCTTTGAAGTTTGTCGATCTGAGATTAAAAGGACCAGGCCTAGACCTGCCTCTTGATAGTCATCAGCTTGCTGGATAAATTCATGGAGGTTAGGTCCATAAAAGGCTATTAGCCAGGGGATAAAATGGTGTCCTTGGCCTCTGTTTGTCAGAGGCTGGAGAGGGATGGCAGGAGACAAATCGCTTGATCGTTGTCTTCGGTCAACCCTCTCTGGGGTACCTGGTGCTGGCCACTGTCGGCAGACAGGATACTGGGCTAGATGGACCTTTGGTCTTACCCAGTACGGCCGTTCTTATGTTCTTGAAATGTCTCTTGACAGCAAATGAAGAATAGGCAGTGTCTGTTGTTGCTTTGAAGCTACTTTTTTGTTTTCTTGCATGGACAGGTAACTTGCTGCATTCCTTTAGATAAGGCAATTAGCCATTCAAACGATCAGGGTTTTTCATTATAGCATGGATAAGCTGAAGATAATGTAAAATTATTATTAGTTCATACAGCATCTTATATCTTTGATCTTTAAAGTTAACTGAACAATCTGCTTGCATAATATAATGCAGTTAAGACATGAAATGGAATTAACATCTACAACCTAGTCTACTTGCACTGTTAACTTCTAACATGATATAGGTGAACACAGGCAAATACACTTTCAATCCTCCCTTTGATTCTCTAACAATAATATAGTCAGACATGTTAAAGATTCTAGTCTAATTAATTTTGATAACTATCTAGAAGGAATGGCCCTGTTTACCATGGTAATACTCTTTTGCTACATCCTTAAGGGTTACTTCCAGGTCACCCAGCTTGCTAATTGTTTTAACCTTTGCTGGTTCAGCGTTACAGCTGGGAAAAGGAAATTGGTGTTAATCAAAGGGGATCTGAAACAAAGTTAAAATTAGTCACTGCCAACCAATGAGAAAATGTTAAAAAGTGTTCATCATTGGCTGTGTTCTCATTGAAGTCTGTGTTAAAACTCCAGTTTGACTTACTGAGAGCAGAGAGTTAGATCAGTGCTGAGCATTTTTGAAAATCTCACATTTCCATTAATTTGTCCTATCAATATTCAGTGTTCCACCACAGACATCACAGGTTCTGAATAAAGAGTGGTCAAATAATCAGGATCGTAGAGAAATTGAGTTGTTTTGCTGTTAAATGAGTGTTTGTATTTCTCACATAAAGATGTAGGGAACAAGTAGACTTGTAATTAATTTGTGTTTTCTTAAGCAAAGGATGAAAGGTAAGCCTGACCACTATTGCTTTTATTGCTTAGGCTCTCACTTCACTGTAGATACAGATATAACCTAGAAATTATAATAAGTGTAGAGTTGTCTATGAAGGTTTTTTTGTAAGGACTGTGAAGTAACGTCTGTCCCCATGAGGGAATGCTGCCAACCCAAAAACTGTGCAATTACATTCGTGTTCAAATGCTAACCAGGCTGTCATATGGTGCACTCATTCTGTTGTTGACGTTATGTTTACAAGTTTAGGTCTTGTTGAAGAGGACATTTAATTTGATAAGATTTACAGATGGGAGTATTTAATTATAGGTGAAGATTGTAGTTTAACTGTCTTAGTTAATGCAGACCAATTGCAACAGTAAAAGGCTTTATTGTTGATCACTGAAGCACTGTCCAGACACATGCAAGTCTCACAAAGATAAAGACTATGGCATAGATAAACTCAGTGCCCCTAATTAACAAAACTCAAGATCACAGCTTGACCATAAAAACCTGATGAACTTTAGAGATGTTAGCTTAAAAATGGGCATCAGTGTGGTGTCCATTTTTGTTTCCCAATATGTGATATGGTATTGGTATTCACTTTAAAAGAGAGACTATTAGACTTCAAAACTAACACATTGTGTCATGATACCATGAGTGCTGAAATTGTAATACTGCACATGGGCATTTGGGGCACTAAAAAAACTTGCAGTATTAGTAGCTGTACAACTATTATTGTGGCCTGAAGTATAAATAAAATAAAATTTCCAAGAATAAGTGGAGAAATAGTATATGATATATTTACAATAGATGACCATGCTTCAATTACTAGCATTATTACCCAACTTTCCCATTACTGTACATTACAAAGCATGTTCTCCTGTATAACAGTTCAATGCTGTGACCATTGAAACATGTAGAAAATCATGGTGAAATGCAGACTGGAGTTGTCAGACTATATATTGTTTTTCTAACTAGACTAGTCTAATCTATATATATGAGAGAGTTTGTGTGTGTGTCCAACTGCGAGTCTGTTTGTTCAAGAACGCCTCCTAAACGGTAAGACCTAAGATAACTAAATTTGGTATGAACATCCTCTTATAAATTAAAGCAAAGTCAAGGTTTGGTTGTGCCAGGACAATGGAATGTGCATGAAATGCAATTCTGTTTGATGAGAAACAAAGGGAGGGCTATGATAGTTATACTCCAGAATTATCACATAGGGAGCAACAAGCATGGGGGACAATTATACTATAGAATTACCTGGGTAGGGGGCAGCAAGAAAGCACACTGCTCCAACAGTCCCAGAGGACTACAGAACAGCCTCTGGCTGGGCAGTACCGATGCTACCACCCTGGCCGGCCCAGGAAACAGGTCCCTTCAGTCTTGCCAGAACTGCAGAACAGCCATCAGCCAGGCATCATGGCCTCCATAGCCCTTGGCCAGACCCAGGGAAATGACACTGCCAGCTGCCCCCACCTCCTGTGCTGACTTCTGTGCCTTCCCCCACTCCCTGTCCCCCCATATTTTCCAAACCCCTGCCCTGACTCCTGCACCTTCATCCTCTGCCCTAAGCCGTTCACCCTGACTCTTGCACCCCGTTCTCTGAGCCCTTTTACACCTCCCAACCCCCTACCCTGACTCCTGCACACATGCGCGCACGCGCACGCACGCACACATACTTATACTGAAGCACCTGAGCAATGTTGGGTAAACCTTCTAATGCAGTTATAAAAAACAATGACACGCACACCTCTTTAATTCACTTTTAAATGTAAAACTGTTTGGTTTATTACATTGTGCTAAAATATGAACATTAATTGAAAAATTCAGGACCCTCTTTACCCTAGAACCATTTCTAATATTCTAATAAGTGGTGGCACAACTCTCTGAAAAATATGTCTGCCAAAAATGACAATGGCTGTCACTTTTTAGAATTGAAAAAGAGCATCTTTTTTGCTTTCTGTTCTGTTATGGCTTACTGAAGGTACATTTGTACAGCCTATGCTACAGTCTACAGAATCCTTTAAAAACCATAGCTCCTTCCACAACTTTATAAAATGCAGGACTTTTGCTTACAGCTTTTTAATACATTGGGACAATTGCCTGCTCATATACACTGAAATGTAAATATATTCCATATGTCACTCTTCTGACAAGTGGAGCCAACATCAGCCAGAGCCAGATTTGATATCTGTGGATTCTTTTCCATCCATCCAACAAAGA